TTTAGTCTTGCGTGTTCCAGCATTTTCAACTATATAAAAAAATTATTAATTGTAAGTTTTCAAAATGAACAAACAATTAAATAAAGTGTCGAACATTACCTTGAATTTCTACAGCTTCTTCAACAGTAATAGGAACTTCTGAAGAGTCAACAACATTTGATTCCTCATTATTTGTTTGTTCATACTATTGAGAAGCTCGAACAATCCGCAAATCACTTATTTTTCTCCTCAGCATGATATCTTTAATGAACAAACAATATTTTTTAGTAAGAAAACGATTTTATTAATGAATATATTGAAGGACAACATGTTAAAAGTTATAATATTATAAATTAACAAATTAAGATATAAAATCTTACGACATTCTTATGTCATATCAAATGTCATAAATATCTTCATCAACGTCCTCCTGAACTCATTGAAATTGTGTAGTATTAGTGATAATTTCATCTAAGTTTTGTGCTACAAAAGGTAAAGATTCTGATCTTGTTTCAATGTCATCTCTACTTCTATTCCTGATGTCTATCAAGTCTTTGGGGTATTACGGAGCACAACATACCAACCGTCATCAATTGGATTGTGACAGTAAAAAGACATGTTTCACTTGAGAAGAAAATACATATGGTTCATCTAACAATCATTGCCCAGTGTGAATTAATCGAGAGAAATTCACCATTGTAAAACCGAATTTATCTCTTTTTATGCCTCGCGTACTGTTTACATCAACCAGTCACACCGAAACAACACAACCTTTCGTTTTTCATAATAATCTAACTCAATAATGTCCGTAAGAATTCCATACATCTCCTTCCAAAGGATGATTGTCCCTGACACTAGCATAACTTGTAGTTAAAGATGTAATTACTACTCCATAATTTTGTGTCCTCCTTAATCTTTCACGAGATTTTGTCTGGAACTTAAACCCATTAATGAGGAAGACATTATATTTTTTAACAATTCTATTCGGATCTTGAGAAAACCATTTAACATATTCACTAACTTCTCTCCCACTCCAAACCTATTACACATGAATGGTGAATTAATTTGCATTCATGTCGATATAAAAATGCAAGACTTATATATTATTTATAACTATATGGAATGATTTAGTTGCTTACCATCTGTCCTAACCATTCATGAAAAGTTTCTGTGAATAACTTATGTATCTCTCGCTGATGTAATCTTCAGGAGCGTGCACGATATCTCAAGACTTCTTTAAACTCACTATAAAGTATATTATGTCGTTAAAGAATGAGAAATATAAAAGATTTAAGATATTTCATTAGAATTGAGTCCAAAAAACTTATGTGCGAAAGAGATCTATTGAATCATGATCGAAAAAAACATATCGGTGTGCTTGTACCCAAGACGTATCATCTAAGTGTGCAATTTCAACTTTCCCGAGTGGTTTACCATAACTTCCAAACAAATAATGTTGTGGTAAGTCATTAGAACTGAACACATCATTTATATTTGGTCTTTTCAATCTTGTTTCAACATCTTCAAATTATCTAGAGCAAAATGTCATACATTCATCTACTAAATACCCTTCAACAATTGATCCTTCCTGATAACGCTTATTACGACAGTAAGACTTCAACTTGCACAAGAACCTATACACGAAACAACATACTATGTAAATATGTTTTATGAAAAGGTATAATCACAAATCATTTGAAACATATAATTCAATTAACACCTCTCTATAGGGTACATCCATTGATAGAAAACTGGTCCACAAACTCTTGCTTCGTGAAGAAGATGAATTAGTAGATGCACTATAATTGTGAAGAATAAAGGCAAAAATATCTTCTCCAAGTTGCATAAAGTCAAGGTGGCTCGATCTTATAGTTTATCAAGTTCTTCAACTATCAAAACTTTCTCACAGATAGCTTTCATTATATTAGAAAGTTCAATGATACAAGACGTCACCTTACTCGACATACAACCGCGTATAGCTACTGGCAGCAAATCCTGCATTAATATGTGATAATCATGTGACTTTAAAGAATAAAGTCTCTGATATTTAACACTGACACATCGAGATATATTTGATGCATACCCATATGAGACCTTTATATCCTTCAACACTGTGCAAAACACTTCTTTTTCTTTATTCGAAAGAGAAAAAATAGAAGGCGGAAAGAAATATTTTCCATTAGGATATAATTGCGGATGAAGATCATGACGAATTCCCATGTTGACTAAGTCAAGTTGACTCTTTAGATTATCTTCAGATTTTCTGTCGACATTGAGAATGGTCTCGATAATATTCTCACAAACATTCTTCTCAATATGCATTACATCAAGATTATGTCTCAAAATATTATCCTTCCAATAAGGCAACTCGAAGAATATAGTCCACTTTTACCATAAGTCTACCATATTTGGATCATCCTCTTCATCATTCTGTTGGTCAACATCCACTTCTTAATTTACATGCTTTGCCTTTTTCTTTGATCGTGTATTCGATGGTTGATTAATCTTTCCAAAAGTAAAATTGATATGTTTCAACATGGAGAATATATCAGACCCGATTGTTTGGTAGGAGCTTTTCAAAACTCTTCAGCACCATCAAACATATTCTTTTGACTTCTAAATCTATGATTATCAGTTAACCAAGACGATGTCCCATATAAGAGAACTTCTTTCCATTAAACAACCACTTCGAACATGTATATGCAGCACAACAATGACAAGCATAATGACATTTGGTACTCCAACCAGATAAATTTACATACGCATGAAAATCATTAATTATCCGTAATAAAGTCGTGCGTAAATTAAAGTTCTCATTCTTCAACACATTATATGTTTTGACCCCTTCCCATAACTTTTTCAACTCTTCAATAAGCGGTTGCATATAAATATCAATATCATTTCTGGGACCTTTCTCACCAGGGATTATCATTGATAAGATAAAAAATGATTATTTCATACAAATCCACGGAGGCAAATTGTATGGAACAAGTATAACATGCCAAGTACTATATGAAGTACTAATGATTTTGAAAGGATTAAACCCATCAGTTGCAAGACCGAGCCTGACATTTCGAGGATCTCTCGCAAAACTTGGATACTTGTTGTCAAATGAATTTCAAGCTAAAGAATCCGCAGGATGCCATAATAATCTATCATCAGTTCTTCCATCATGATGCCACCTCATAGACTCAGCAGTCTTGGAGGACATAAACAATCTTTGTAGCCTAGGTATGAGAGGAAAATATCGTAGAATCTTTACCGGTTTCTTTCTTGATCGTGCTTGAACTTCATCCTCACTCACATTTTCTGCGTCACTAGGCATCCATCTAGATTTTTCGCATACATGACAAGACTCCTGATTCTTCGATCACCTCAATACAACATACAATCATTCGAACAACTATGAATTTTGTCATATCCAAGATCCAAATCTTTTATCATTTTCTTCATATCTTTGCATAATTGAGGGACTTCTGCAAAAGGAAACATTTATCCTAGAAACTCCAACAATTGCATAAAATAGTTATCAGTCCACCCTCCCAAGCATTTTAAGTGGAAAAGACGAATGCAGAAAGATAGCTTTGAATATTTTGATCCCTCATAAATTTGTTCATTCATTTCATTCAACTTGTAAAACTTTGTCGCTTCTCTATTTGGCTCTTCAGCACATACACTTCTTCCCATCTCAGTGAAATCATTAACATCATTGTGACAATCATTTTCTGTAACAGATTGATGATGATTGTGCATATTAAATGCATCTAGTAACATCCCTTCCATGTCATAATTCGGAGGGCATTTCATAATTCGGAGGTATTCTACGGAAGCTGCTCTCAACCTGGTGTTGGGGGCAGCCTACTATCTTACTTCCCCCTTACCCCATTATATATGGGAACAAGGGACAACCATTTTTTTAGTAACATCCCTTCCATGTCATCTTCTCTAATAGTTCGATGGTGAGAAGTAGCAAGATAAGTCGAATAACCCATGGAAGAAGATCTATTTGATATAAACTCTCTATGAAATATCCATTTTCTATACACCGAACAAATCCAAAAACAACTAGATACTCGTACACAACTTCACGAATGTGCCAATTAATGTTAGCACACTTCTTACAAGGGAAAAGAATCATATTCTCTTGCCTTGCATTCACAAAAGCTAAATTTAGAAAATTTTCAACTCCATTTCGATATTTGTCGCTTACCCTTGAGAAATTCATCCAACTCTTATCCATTTCGTATTTCTGGAGTTTTAATTTCAAATGTTAATTCCTAATATTATAGAGAAAGTTAGAACCTAAATAGAAGCATTACATTTAATTTCACAATTTATATTATTAATAAATTCCTGGATAAATTTGTGGCAGACAAATAATATGGAAAAGGGACCTATATAAGGGGCCAAATAAATAACAAAACTATGAAACCTGTCCTTACATCATTATTAATCTACACTTAAACATGGCATAGGCTTAGAAGGTTAGTGCTTTCATAAACTAGGTTATCAGAATAAAACTAAAAATATTGAACAAATCGGTATTATACTATCAGATTTAGTGCATAATAATAATTGCATAGTATAGAACTAATCACTCCTAAATTATAAAACTTATAAATTTATAAAATTTTATGGGAGTAAGTGTATCTCTGCTATTTTATAAAAATTATAAGGGTGCATATATACAACTGCAAATATTTGCATTCACAAGAATTTTCATCAATTAATGATTTGTTCATTCTTCAAGTTTTTCTGTCTTCAATTTTGTTTTACTATGTAATTTATTTTCTCCTATGCATGTTCATCAACCTTCAACATTCACTCTAAACCCTTTCACTTTCACTAATATTTCATCGAAATCAAGCCTTTAGATCTAAACAAACTCATGTTTCATAGTTAAAGAGAGAGGCATGAAGAACTTAAAACGAAGTTGATTACCTTTGTTCCATGTGAGAAAGGTTCAAGAAATAAAGAAAATCAAAAACCCAAAAGTAAAACAAAGACAAGATTACCTTTGTTTCCTCACAAACGAGTTCCACAGAAAACGAAGGACTCGAACCAAGCTATAGAAGCAAAAGAACCAAGGGATCGAGCATTGATGGTGTAACCTTGGAGGCCTCGACGACTTCGACCAACAACGAGCAACACCAATTTTGCGTGGGTATCTTTGTTGTGTCCGGTGGAGATGGGAGTCTGGAATGATACTTTAAAGCAAAATAAAGACTTTAATGCATTTGGAGAGTCTGGAAGGTCCTCCAACATTTATGTAAATACTAAATAAAAAAGAAATAAACATATATTCATCAAAGTTCTAAACTCGTAATGAGTATAAGATGTTTGTATGTGCATTCACTACATGAATATTCTTCTTTTTTTCTAAACTTTTCCATGCATTAGTAGGGAACATATCCTGCAAATGCATTTGGAGGGTCTTTGAAATATCTTATCCTTTTCTCGTGTCTAAATATGTATATGACACTGATACGTTCGAAAAATGAAAGAGTCAAGCTAAGATAGACTTCAACTTACCCAAGTTAGCTCTTCTGAAACTCTAACCTCTCTAGTAGTAAAAAGGGCAAGCTGTTCATAGAAACACAAAGAAAATGTATAAATAACTTGGCACTTCAAATGCAGGTAAACAACAATCCTCTATTTTTTTATTATAGCCTTGACAAAAAATTTGTTACTGGTTTGATTCATACATGATAATAATGGCGATCAGGGGTCTCCACTTCAACTGGAATGTCAATCAAGTTTGCATCAAAGCATCTAAAATGTTAAATGTTAAATTTTAAACATCATACTAGACTGTTGGTAGTGATTTACTACACTGTTAAGAATATGATAAAACATAAAAGACATCTAAAAATGAACCCCGACATCCTGTAAAATGTTAGAAAGTTGTACAAGAAGGTGCAACATTAAACATTGGTGTTTTAGAATAATTTAAACATATGTTTAATTTACAGCAATATATCATTCTTGGTCTGGTGGTCTGATGGTTTGCTTTGCTTGGCTATTATATAATCAATAATTAACCAAACCAATAAAAGTTTCAGTAATCATAAAACTTAAAACAAAATGAAGTCGAAAGTTACCCCAATAAGATATGAATCCAATTCAAATTCCTGCAAATAAAAGCAAAATGTTATTTGCAATTCTAGATTTTCTAAACAACCCAAAAACCCTAACCTTCAAATTTTGGGATTTTAAACAGAGAGTGGAGCGACGGAAGGGTGAAGTAAATGAAGTGCAGCAACTGATTCTAGGCCTGATAGCTGTGGGTCATCACTTTAGAGCTGCTTTTCAAGGTTTTTGTTAGGGTACAAAGAATGAGGATGCAAATGAGAAAGACCGAAAGTGGAAAGTAGAAATGACGACAAACAGCGGAAGAAAAGGATGATTGAGTAGGGAAATGGAAAGGACGCGATAGAGGAGTGGGCTGACGGCAGCCGAACAACATATTTGATATATTACAACACGGAGGCCAATGAGCAATCGACGTCGGAGATTGAAAAAAAAGGGGAAGAAAATGTTAAATGAAGAGATAAAGTTGTGTTTTTAGGGAAATTTTAGACGGGTGAATGAAATAATTAGACCACGTTTGGTTCGTTAGAATGTTTACGATGGAATTAGAATCTGTAAGATTTAGAATCTAATTTTATATTTTATTTGCTTGACAGGAATGGAATTGAAATCCAATTTCATATTCTGTTTGGTTCGTAGACATATCAGATGAATTTGATCTCAATAATGTAAAATGACAGAATTGTCCTTCTTATTTTTTTGCTTTATTTTAGTTTATTTTACAACTTACATGTAGTAATATATTATAAAAAATTAAAAAATATTAAATTTTCATTTTATTAATTGATTATTCATTTTAATAAATTATAAAAATCATGCTAATAAACATTATAAGTTAAAATCATCGCAATCAAAATATGTTAATAAGTTACCAAAAGATAGAGCAATATTTCGATACATTCCAATCGGAGTATGTTAATTAGTTACCAAAAAATATACCAAAAACTATTTTTATTCAATATATGAATTAGAAACTCGACCTGACACGACTCAAAATAATAAAAAAATTATTTTTATTCAATCAAAACATTGACTTAATTGAAAAAAATTATATATAGAGGGGTATTATTGTAATTATTCCTAAATATATAAGGTAAAATTATATATATTTTTTGGGTCGGTCTGGTTTTTTTCACCCTAAACCCGAACCCAACCCGACCTGACCTGACCCGAATATCACACTTAAAAAACCCCGACCCGACTCGACCCGAATATCACACTTAAAAAACTCGACCCGACCCGAACAAAATAAAATTTCATTCAACCCAACCCGAATATATGAATTATAAATCTGACCCGACCCGAACCGAAATAATAAAAAATTATTTTTATTTAATAAAACCAGTGACTTAATCCGACCCGACCCGAATTATATATATTTTTGGGTCGGTCCGGTTTTTTTCACCCTAAACCGAACTCGACCCGATCCGACCCGAATATCACTCTTAAAAAAAACCGACCCGACTCGACCCGAATATCTCACTTAAAAAACCCGACCCGATCCGAACAAAATAAAGTTTCATCCGACCCGACCCAAATATATGAATTAGAAATCCGATCTGACCCGACCCGAAATAATAAAAAATTATTTTTATTTAATAAAAACAGTGACTTAATCCGACCCGACCCGAATTATATATATTTTTGGGTCGGTCCGGTTTTTTTCACCCTAAACCCGAACCCGACCCGAATATCACACTTAAAAAAACCCGACCCGAATCGACCCGAATATCACACTTAAAAAACCCGACCCAACCCGAACAAAATAAAGTTTCATCCGACCCGACCCGACCCGAATATATGAATTAGAAATCCAACCCAATCCGACCCGAAATAATAAAAAAGTATTTTTATTTAATAAAAACAGTGACTTAATCCGACCCGACCCGACCCGAATATCACACTTAAAAAAACCCGATCCGACCCGACCAAAATAAAGTTTCACCCGACCCGACCCGAATATATGAATTAGAAACCCGACCCGACCCGAAATAATAAAAATATTTTTATTCAATATATGAATAAGTTATCAAATGATTGATGAGGGTAGTATGGTCAAATTTCAATTCCTTCCAACAAGGGAATTGAATTCCATCCATTTTTGGATAGAATTCATTTTCCATCATTTGATTGAATTGAATTCCATCAGGGATTCCAATTCTTTTGAAAAACTTGAACCAAACATGGGAAAGTGGTGGAATTGGATTCCAATTCCCACCAATTCCAAGGGATTCCATCCAACCAAACGTCACCTTAAGGATTTAGAACCCGATAGGTTATTGCACAATTGCGGCGTTTATAATAAAAATGTCACTAAAGAACATCAATATGGCGGTGTTTATTTAAAAAATGCCACTAAATTATATTATTATCGCGACATTTTTAAACAAACACCCCTAATGTAAGAGTATTTTGCCACATTTTTTTCCCCAAAAAATGCCGTTAAAAATGATGCTAAAAACAAATGTTGTCTATCATATTTTTTTCATCCGTTTTGAATAAAATACATTATAATCATTGCAACGTTTGTATAAAAATGATGATAAAGAACAACTTTGTTGCGGCGTTTGTTGGAAAAACGCCACTATAGATTAACCTTATTGCGACTTTTGTATACAAACGCTGCTAACGTACTTCTCTATTGCATCGTTTATTGGAAAAACACCACTATATATTAACCCTATTACGACGTTTGTATAAAAAGCCACTAACATACCAATCTATTATGGTGTTTGTATGAAAACGCCTCTAAATTACTTTCTTTTATGGCGTTTGTTGTAACGACACCACTATATATGAACATTATTGCAGTATTTGTATGAAAATGCCGCTAAATTACTTTATGTTGCGACGTTTGTTGAAAAACACCACTATATATGAACCCTATTGTGGCGTTTATATAAAAACACCGCTAATTTTACCATTTTGCGGCGTTTTGTATTAAAATGTTGTTATATGTTTAAAGTTTGTGGCGTTTATTCTCAAAACACTGCTAAAAATGCCGATGTAGAATAGTTTTGTTGTAGTGAACTTTAATAGTATCTACACTTTTATTTCCGTGACACTTCTAATACCTTATGACTTTATAACATAATTGATCACTTAATTTATGTCATATTTTATGATAAAATATACATTAAAAATATGTGCCCATAATTATAAATTTTAATCCAACAATCTCCCACTTAGGCAACATATGTTTCCTGAAAAATGTATAACCTTATGAGCTCAAACTTTGTTATCATGCAATATGTATTCTATAACAATCTCGTCTATCAACATAGGATCATTTCGGCGTTTGTATAAAAACACCGCTAATTTTACCATTTTGCGGCGTTTTGAATTAAAATGCCGCTATATGTTTAAAGTTTGTGGCGTTTATTCTCAAAACACCGCTAAAAATGCCGTTGTAGAACAGTTTGCTGTAGTGAACTTTAATAGAATCTACACTTTTATTTCCATGACACTTCTAATACCTTATGACTTTATAACATAATTGATCACTTAATTTATGTCATATTTTATGATAAAATATTCATTAAAAATATGTGCCCATAGTTATGAATTTTAATTATAATCTCCCACTTAGGCAACATATGTTTCCTGATAAATGTATAACCTTATGAGCTCAAACTTTGTTATCGTGCAATATGTATTCTATAACAATATTGTCCATCAACATAGGATCAAAGCGGTCTTTGCCATATCAATCATGACTAGACCCATAAATGGTCACTTATACAAATATAGTCAAATGACATAAATCAATCATGGAGCGTAGTATGAAAATTATATGCAATATGAACAGTACATGTCTATTTCCAACTGGTCCTCTTTAGTGAGATCAAAGTTTACCAAAACCAGAGTGTGGATAAACTAAAACAATTTTTTTTTTACAGAAAATAACCTTAAAATACATATCCTTAAACTAAAGTAACTTATAATCAACGAGTATTTAAATTACAAACTCCCACTAAAATTGAATATCCTTAAATGATATTACACCACATGAGTAGTAGGCCTGTAAATGAACTGAACGTTCAGCGAACCGTTCGTGAACCGTGCGGCGGGAAGTTCGTTTATGTGCGTTTATTTATTAAATGAACGAACATGAACAATATTTTTTGTTCGTTTAATTAAATGAACGAACATGAACATAGGTCTCGTTCGTTCATTTACGTTCGTGAACGTTCGATTATGTTTGTTCGGTTATGTTTGTTTATGTTCGTTCGATTATGTTCGTTTATGTTCATTCATTTATGTTTAACTCAATCTTCTTAAATCAATTTTGGTGACCAATTTGTAAGTATCTTAAAAATATTAATTAATCTGATATTCTGATGACCAACTCCATAATTAACCCAATTTTATTTGGAGATTAAATCCAATATGTTAACCTGTGAGGCACATCGCACCTATATTCATTTCCCCCTTTTTTCCCAAACCCTAGTGTCCACTAGAGAGTGGAGACGATCGCTGAAAGCTTCAAAACAAGTTATATAGTGCAATATGAAGTTTTACAGGTCTGTTTTCATCTCTTTCTCTATTTATTTGGCTTAATAGTTGATATGTAAAGTTATTGCAGGTATCTTCACATCTAAACTCAAGAAAACATCATACTTCTTTCTAGAAATAGATGGGAAGATAAAGGTAACAATCGGAAGTATATGAGCATCATAAGAGAAAAATATATAGAATTTGCCAGAAAACAAAACAAAGGTTTCTATGCAATTTCTGAAAAGAGTGTAATAGCGAAAAATGATTGTTTATATGTAATCATGGACCACTAAGATAAATGTTATAGCGTTAAATTAAAGTTGTGTGAATCATTTAATATCTTTAAAAGATCGATCAAAATATTTGATATCTTCAAACATTTCATCACTGCTAATAAACTCTTACGCTATTTATCACTGTAGATTTGGTTGATTTGCATTGTCGACTATTTTTCATGAAAGAACAATGGAAGGTAGGGTCTCCAACGTTTATGTTCGTTTATGTTCGTGTTCATTTATGTTCGTGTTCGTTTATGTTCGTGTTCGTTTATGTTCGTTTATTTATTAAATGAACGAACATGAACATATTATATTCCTTAATAAACAAACATGAACAAAAAAAATTTTGTTCGTTTATGTTCGTGTTCGTTTATGTTCGTCTATTTATTAAATGAACGAACATGAACATACCTCCGTTCGTGTGCGTTCGGTTCGTTTACAGGCCTAATGAGTAGTGTGCTCATGAAAGACCTAGGGTGCCAGTTTCTTAATAAGCGTGCAATAATGAGTTTGTATTAAGGTGTTTATATTGTATATAGAATAAAGGATTTAAACTTTGTTTTCACAAAATCA